CTTATATATGAATGCCGCGATAGGTGTCGTATTCCTATAGGTAGATGTGATCAGCTGAGAATCAGCTGATGCAAGCTTGACTCACGTGACCTGCCAGAACTAACGCTAACGCTTAATTTCTTGTCATTTTTGCATCTACCTTGATTTAAGAATTTTTAGACATTTGACAAAAATACTGAGGAAGAACATCACTTTTGTGCAGTGTGATCAGAAGGAGCAGTAAAAATGATTTCATCAGCTACTTTTTTGTGTGTAAAATTAATTAAAAAGTAACATATTGATGTATTGTATTCCATTTAATTTAATTCCTTACATTCTCTTAACTTGGTCTTAAAGTTTTTAAAAAGCCTTAAAAGTAGTGAAATTTGAAAACAGTTATTTTAAGTTGTAATAATATTTCACAATATTACTGTTTTCACTGTATTTTTTGGTCAAATGTAGCCTTGATGTGCATAAGAGACTTCTTAAAAAAAAAAAAAAAAGGAAATAACACAAAAATATGTTTAGCATGATCTTTATACCTGTTACCTATCTCAGATGGAGGAGACGGGCCGTGTTCTCTCAAACCTCTGTAACATAGTGCCGGGGGGTGTGGTCTGTTTCTTCCCCTCCTACGAATATGAGAAGAGGATTCTGGGACACTGGGAGAGTACTGGCATCCTACAGAGGCTAGAGTCTAAGAAGAAAGTACACAAACACCAGTACTACCGTGCCAAGTCAATTTATACATGAGTTAAGATGCTCTCTGCGTTTCAGATTTTCCAGGAGCCGAAAAAAGCCAGTCAGGTTGAGCAAGTGCTCAGTGACTATTCCAAGTGTATACAGGTGTGTTAGTGTGGAAATATTACTATACTAACAAGTAAATTAGAGCAGGTCTGTGTGTTTATATCTACAGTAAATGATGGGTTGTTACATTAATGCAGCGCTGCAGTAATGCCGGAAGTGGCCAGACAGGGGTGCTGCTATTCTCTGTAGTAGGAGGGAAAATGAGTGAAGGAATCAACTTCTCTGACAACCTGGGCAGGTAAAACTGCGTTCAGAATCGCATGCCATACTATCACTGCAGTATACTGTAAGCAGTATGCATAAATACCAAAAATGTGCCATATACAATGAAGCACACTACGACATGACAACAATATAGAATATTTCACTGCATATACAATATAGTATATATTACTATTATTTTCATTAACTGATACTAATTCTATTAAAATATATATATATATATATATATATATACTTATTTCAATTAGTTATATGCAAAATAATCGAGTAGTTGCAACATTTCCATTTTTTAGTTTGTTGAAGTGCTAAAATTACTAAATCCAAAAAATAATGAAAATAACTAAATACAAAAAAAATTCAAAATATAAAAATAAAAACTAATTCATAATATCAATACTTTATTATAATAATGATACAAACATTTTAAAATGTAACTTATTTCAATTAGTTGCAAAGGCAATTTTTAATTTTTTTCCCCCAGTTTAAGTATGAGAAGTTTTTTGTTGTTTTAAGTATTAAAATGAAAGTAATGAAAATAAATGAGAACTGAAATAAAAATGGAAACTGAAAATAAATAAATAAAAATACTAAACAACACGAAAACTAAAATTAAAATAAATGTAAAATATAAAACTACTACTAATATTACTGAATGCTATATTATAGTAAAATAATGCTTGATGCATACTGCTTCACTTGCTGTTTTGTAAAAAATAGTATTTAGTGTATACTGCACAGTATGTAATAAGTAATATGCTAGAAATGAATGAACAATAATCATTGAATGAAACACTTTTGTGCTTTTGTTTAGATGTATTGTTATGGTTGGAATGCCGTATCCCAACATAAAGCCACCGGAGCTGCAGGAGAAGATGGCTTACCTGGACAAGAACATGGTGAGACTTCCTACAGGATGATGCATTTGGGAAGAATCTGCCATTTCTAACTCTCTCCTTTCTGTTTCAGCCTCACGTTGGTGGTAAAAGTCCTGGGAAGGCACTGATTGAGAATCTGTGCATGAAAGCTGTCAATCAATCTATTGGTAGGCGGAGCCCCGTACTCCTGTAATTCAATGCTGTGTTTAACAAAAGGCAATCAAATGCAGATTGTAATACAAACAGACATTGTCTGATTTCAGAATAGCCTATTAGCATAGTACTTTTATTATTTATTCCATTTAAGACTAGTATGCAGTCTGCTTTCTAACGGTCTTTGAGATGAGTAAGAGCAGAGTACAGCTCAGTTTCTCTCCACACCTCACGCAGGTCGTGCGATCCATCATCGTGGCGATTACGCATGTATTGTTCTGTGTGATCACCGGTACGCCCGATCAGGCACGCTGCAGAAACGTCCAGAATGGATTCGATCCAGCACACACACACAACATTTGGTCCCGCCTTCGCCAGCATCAGGAGGGTAAGCGTACTGTGCAGTATGTTGTATATACTGCCTACTTTTTTTTTTTTTATTGTACATTAACCCTCTGGGCCTCTTCGTCATTTTTGACCGAAAAAATTTATATTTCGAAATTTTTTAAATAGTGGCTTCATCGGAATGGGATGACACATGGTGACTTTTGTCGCATTAGCTATGTGAACACACAAAAAAAAATCATGGACATGATTCGGATATGTTAAAGGGTCATACACACTTGGCTCCTTCGCGGTCAAAAATTACCGACATAGGAAATGAATGGAGAATCTTTTGGTGGTACAAACTACAAATCAGCCACTGTGCAGAACAAAAGTGCACAGCAATCAAGGAGTGACTCTGTAAAATATGACACACACACAGAGAGAGAGAGAAATAAACTGGTAAGACTGCAACAGAGCAAATTTTGAGAATATTCAATGATTGATTGAAATCATAATGCAAGCCTGATATTTATCTAACCAAAAATATTTAAACCTTGACAAAAAGTAGTCTTTTAGAATGTCTAAATACATATCTAAAAGTAAAACCTAATAAAAATGAAGAAATTCTGTCTAAAAAACAATGGGAATCCAAAGGCCTCTGTATATATGTATATAGGGAACTATACAGGAGTTTACATGACAGTAGAATAGTACATAAAGTTTGAATTTTTTTAATGTCACCAGATGGCACAATTCTCACTTAAAAAAAATGGATTTTAAATGTTTTCACTCGGTTTTAACATGAAATATTGCATTTATTGAAAAATAATAAATAATTAATTAAATAAAAATATATTAATTCTAATGGAAAAAATTGCGAATTACAATTTTATAAATATTGCATAGTATCATAAAATCCCCATAAAATTCTAAATAATAATCCAAAAATATTATTAAACAAAAACGTATTACACTGAATTTCCTGAAAAAAAAAAGTTATATTTCAAGGCTTCGGTCACTTTTGACTGCGAAGGAGCCAAGTGTGACCCCTAAACGAAGAGGCCCCGAGGGTTAAACAGCATGCAACAAATTCAAACAGTAGTATAGACCCTTTTTCTGTTAGTAAACATTGTGACGTTTTAGGTGGAGGCAGAACGATTCCCCTGACCGCGTCACTAGCGTTAGCTATGAAGTTTGTTTTGATTTCTCAAATAGTAGATAGAATGTCATTGTGGCAGAGTGATAGACCAGCATGTGACGTGCGACTGAGGGCTGGTGTGTGTCTCTCCAGCTGCGTGCTGCTTTAATGAGACAGACGTTCTCCAGCTGTGCTCTCTGTAAGCAGGTCTGTTCTAATGACAGGAAGTGGAGGATTACAGGATGAGGATGATTCGTTAGCCGTATGCTCCCTGTCTGATCCTTTATTTGATTCCACAGTTCTTCCTGGAGAAGCGACAGAGACCGCCGCTCTGAGGACATCGACTCGACAGCGCCAAGCCACGTGTGTAAAAATACTACGGTGTGTCCTGCATTATGGATGTTTGTTGGCCTACTCTGGCCTTGTGAATTATTGAGGCGGAGTTCTGCTGCCTCTGTCCTCTGTGTTTCAGCATGAGTTTTTGGTTCAGTTCTTGACTTTCATTTAATAAAAGCTGATTTTTACAAGACTGGATTGGTTTGTGTTTGTAATCCAAAATGTGAAGCCAACAGACTCGCTCAGATGGGCTAAAACAATCATAGTAGATTAGAGTTTATTTTCTGTATTTAAGACACTAATACGGAGATGTTTTTGAGCATGTAAAACAAAATATCAAAAAATACAACCTGCTTTTTACATTCTTTTTTTTCCTTAAGGAACATTAGTTATTTCACCATCAACTTCATGAAGTCACATAATTTTGAATGAGCACGAGTAGTGAAAAATGTTCATCAAAAAGAGCAATTAATTATTAAAGTCAACATAAGACAACCATAATGTGAGATTTACGAGTTAAAGTGGGTAACATTAATATTTATCAATTGCTTGTGTGGACGAGATGACATCAGATGAAAGTCATTTTAAAAAAATGGAGGAAGTTACAAAATTTTGATGAAAAGGTTACAAAGAAGCATTTTTAAATTTTTTATAAATCATGCACAAATGATCAGAAACACAAATGAGGCATGCTAATAGGCTGAATTTAGAGTCAAGTTGACTTTTTCAATTCAATTGTTAAAATGTCAACTTTTGCTGGTGTTAAATATGGCAGCTGATATCACTTCCAGTTGCAGTCAAGGTGCAGTCAAGCACATTGCATTATGGGATACCATGTGCCCTGCATACTGTAGCTCATCCAGGAAGTCTATGCATATTATGTACATGTGTGTGCATCAGAGATAGGATTTTTCCATATTTATATGGATTTTTGTATTTTGTAATGGACTTTTTTATTTTTTAAATGGTTGAAAAAGTTGAAGCTCTATAGTTTAACATTTGAAAGCCAAGAAATTAAGTATTACATAGAAATTAAATTATTTATTAATACTGTAATTTTTCTGTTGTTCTGTAAATTATACTTATATTTTTTATTTTGCAGTAATAATAGTATCATTGCAGTAGTATTATATAATGTTTAATATTATAAAAATATTAAAGTTTACATTTTCAAATTTTTGAAATAATTTGCACTGATGAATCAAGCACAGATGACCAAAAATGTGCATGAAGAATGTAAATAGTGAATTTGGGATCATGTTGACTTTAATAATATAATCTTTCAGACTATAAGGGTTTTCATGACATATAGAACACATCATCTTACACTTGTGTTAATTCACTGACCTTCAGGTTACAAAACAAGAGACCAAACGTCTCACTCGACACTCACTCCACAGCTCTCCTTGGAGAGACAATATCTCCAGACCCTGTCTATGAGGATTTCAAATCTCCAATCTTGAGTTTCGCACTCAACTCTGGGTTGCCATGGTTACGCCTCCCAGTCATCTTCATCATCTGCGGTAGGTTGCTGTGGCGCTGGAAGGGGCGGGATCACATCTGACATCCTGGCGAACGCCCCGCCGGAGCTGGCAGGTGCTTCGGATGAGTCTCCAGCCGCCGGGCCCTTACCAGAGATACCTGTCAAATATTCACAGTGAAAAATGCATCAGGTTGGATTACAAAACTGAGACTGAGGCGCTAAAACGAACCTTTCCTGCGCATGGCCAATTTATTGAAGAGGTCAGACATCAGGTCTCCACCGCTCACCGCTGCCCCAACTGGAAACAAGACAACTGTTAGGTTAAGCAATAGGAAATATAACTAAGTTTTACACATTACATGGCTTCAGAAGACTGTATATACTACGAGGATGTACAAAAATGTATCAAAAGTGACAGTAAAGACATTAAAATATTACTAAAGAATTATTTTTTTTCCTCAAATGGAATCAAAGAATCCTGAAAGAAATGTATCACAGTTTCTACAAAAATATTGAGCAGCACAACGGTTTTCAACATTAACAATGATAAGAAATGTTGGTAACACTTTACTTGAAGGGGTGTGCATAAGACTGACATGACACCTTCATAATCATGACATGACACATGTCATGAATATGAAGGGTTTTTATGCATGTTTATGACAACTGTCATTAAGTGTCATTCGCTCAGTTATGTCATTTTTAATGCAAATATGACATTATTTGACCTAACCCTAACCTACCCTTACCCCTAACCCTAACCATAGCCCATGACAAAGACATCTCAAACAATGTCATATCTGCATTAAAAATGATATAACTGAGCGAATGACACTTAATGACAGTTGTCATAAACATGCATAAAAACCCTTCATATTCATGACATGTGTCATGTCATGATTATGAAGGTGTCATGTCAGTCTTATGCACACCCCTTCAAGTAAAGTGTAACCGAAATGTTTTTCTTAAGCAGCAAATTAGCATATTAGAATGATTTCTGAAGAATCATATGACACTGAAGACTGGAGTAATGATGCTGAAAATTCAGCTTTGATCACAGGATTAAATTACATTTTAAAATATGTTCAAATAGAAAACATTATTATATATACATATACATTATGACGTTATAATTATAATACTATTTATAAATATTACTGTTTTTATGGATTTTGTATCAAAAAAGGCAGCCTCGGTGAGCTACTTTGATAAACACTGAAACATTTTGCAAAACCAAACATTTTGAAGCCAAACGAGTCATATACAAGTCATACACATCACTTTTATTGTGCATTTTTGACCTTTTTGGAGACTCCACAGCATCCGTTTCCCATTAACTTTAATTGAAAAGAAAATAGCAGGTTGGATTTTCTGCTAAACGTCTCCTTTTGCCTTTGTTATTTTCTGCAGCAAACAGGGCATATTTCAGGAGAATAACAAGTAGCAAAGATTATTACATTGCGTTCTTTCAAATCTTAAGTGTGGCATTTACTCTCACCCAAGTCCTAAATCATTAGTAATTACACCTCTCAGAGATGGCCAATTCAAAAGACCACAAGGTTTATCCATTGATAATATATCAGTGAAGAATTTGAAATATCTGAGACTTTGTGAGTCCAGAGTCAGTCGATTTCAGAGCAAATGTCAAGCAGATTTAATGAAAGTAAATTTCTCTTTTGACCTTTCCAAATACCACAGCGCTCTTCCTTATACCAGCGATACTGAAACACAATGAATTCCTCTTGCTTTAAAAATGAATACTCTTGTACACTTAATATGTTCATCTTCCAAAATAACTGCATGTACATTTTTACATATATTCTGGATTGTTGCCAGGGTGTACCTATGTGGTTACTAGGATGTTGCTTACCGGTCCAAAGTTTCTACACATGGCTTGGCTTTTTAATGCTTCCATTAGCAAACACTAACAAGTTTCTTACCCTAATAACAGTTTAGCTAATGTTAACACCCTCTAATTGACCCTGTTTGACAGTATGCTTTCAGTACAGAGTGTAAACACTGCTGGCGTCTGACCTTGCTCTTGCTCCTTCTGTTTTTTCTTCTCCATCTTGCGTCCTTTTACATTGCGGAGGTTTGCTTTGCCGATACCGCCGGCGTTTCGGATTGACTCCAGCAGACTGGCTCGGCCGTCCGACGGCTGTGACACCTCAGTAGGGGCTCTTTTCACTATACCTGTATATATAATATATAAATTACATACACTATAATTTATATAGAATATAATATAAAATAAATTATATACACTATAATTTAACACTATATAAATTCAGCTTTGCCATCAGAAATAAATTAAATTTGAAAATATATTAAAACAGACAACAGTCATTTTAAATTGTAATAATATTTCACAATATTACTGTTTTTAATGTATTTTTGCCTAAATAAATGCAACCTTGATAAGCATTAGAGACAAACCGAATGGTAGTGTATATGGACAAAAAAAAAAAAGTTTTTTTGTTGTTGTTGTTTGTGGGCAGAAGATGTGGATGTGAATAAATGTAGGTTTTAAAAACTTAACCACCTTTGCAGTCTGAAAACAGCTAGGTGCAGGAAAAAAAACACTAATCACAACTGCACATGTAAAGAGACCACTTACAATTCCCTAGGCTAACTCTGTAATGACACACTGCGCTAAAAAGACTCACCAAGTCAATCAATCTGAAAAATGAATCTTTTACCTGTGGGAGGGGCTTGACTTGACATGGCATCAGTGCGGTCTGCTGTGATAGGTGGAGGTGGGGGTGGAGGGGGCGGAGCTGGGGAAGTTCCAGGGGGTGGGACTGATACCCGAGTTGCCTCTGGTGGTGGAGGGGGTGGAGGAGGTGGAGGGGGTGGAGCCTCAAGCCTAAAATGAGAGTCTTAAAACACAAACAAGTAATTATTAAATAATATGTTTTTAATTCATTTTACCTTTATAAATAAAAAATAATTACATGTATATTTATATTTTTCTAAATTATATTTCAAAATGATATATACATATATAATTTTATAATTATATATTTTACAATTATATAATGATATACGAGTTGTATTTTTCAAAATTACATAATTATAAATTAATTTCTAAAAAAAAATCTGCCATAATTTAATGATCCCACCAGATCCACTAGATTCGTCATGCTCCGTGCCAAATGAAGGAAGTTCAGGGATGCTGTTGCTGGCAGGAACAGATGGTGCGAACCCTGGGCCGAGGTCAGCGCTGTACATGAGGTCATCAGCGATGCCAGGTAAGTCAGGCAGGTAAGACGGCACATCGATCTCAGGCACTTGCCCCATGTCTGGCACATAGAAATAATTCTCTGCAGTCTGAGAAGAAAGCATGAAAGTGATATTAACTGAGCTTGCATCCTGTTTTCAGCGTATCGTTTCATTATAGGTATGACTGAGCGGCTCACCTGTCTCTCTAGCTGCTCTCTCTTGGTGATCGACAGCGGCGCATCAAATGGTTTATCTTCCTTTTCGGTCTCTAACGTGGTGTGTGTTTTAGTCACGGCGCCCGCCAGAGGGTCAAGAAACACATATTTCTTGTAGCTGAAAATACACAAACATGCACAGCGATGATTATATGAGCATTAATAAGGTTGCATCGGCAGTGCAGCATTCAGTCAATATGTGTAGGTGTTTGTGTACTCACAGGTTCTCTGTTGTGTTGAACAGCAATAAGGAGCTGACTGAGTTGACATTTCTCGGCAGACTTCCCAAACCCTCCTCTGTCTCATGCTCAGAGCGCTTCTTAGTGTTTACACATACTGGCAAATACATCAACTTCTCCTATAAAACACATTTATGGGTCATTTCATGAAACATGTTAAACATAAATTTGTGTTGATAGTTTTATGTTGTAATTTGACTAAGATTATTTACAACAGAACAGCAATGCATTTTATGGACGACCGTTTCGTGAACCTAGGAGAGGAGGTCATTCTGACTTTGCTATGACAATCTGGCACTTCTGAATCAGTGACTGTAAGTATGTTTTGTTATTAGTTTGAGTATTTGCTATTGACTCAAATGCGGAGTTTTGCGCATCGTGTGTGTGTGTGTGCGTGCGCGAGCGAGCGAGCGTGCAAGAGAGAGAGCGAGAGAGAGAGAGCACGAGAGAGGGAGAGAGAGAGCGTGAGAGAGCGCGAGAGAGAGTGAAAGAGCGAGAGAGAGAGAAAGAGAGAGAGAGCGAGAGAGAGAGAGAAAGAGAGAGAGGGGGGGGTCACATCACAAACACATACCAGCTTCATCACTGTGTCTGTCACGCGACTCTGTTCCCCTTTCGGGCTCTGTCTTTACATTTATTTTGAAAGATGAAGCTCGTGATTATGGTAAGGGGTGTTACATTTCTGACGAGTGCTTGTGGTGTTCGGCCAATCACAATGCACTGGGTCAGCTGGCCAATCAGAGCAGACTGCGCTTGTCGGAAGGAGGGACTTTGTAGAAAACGAAGCGTTTGAGAGAGGCGGGGCATAGAGGACCTACAATAATGTACAGTATTTGAAAAATAATGTGTTTTTTGAACATTAAAGCATGTCAACATATTCTGTTACACCAAATACACAAAATAATGATCTTTAAAAAAGCATCATATGACCCCTTAAAAAAGATAATTTGATGCAGATTTTTTCACAGATATCCTCAATGAACAATTTTTCAATTAATGATTGTTAAGCCCTTGCCTGGTTTTTAAAATTGAGCTGAAAGCTTGTAACAGTTTAAAAAAAAAAAGTTAGGTGTTACAAGCTGATTGGTTGCTTCCATGACAGAACTATCCAATGGCATTTTTTAATTCAGTTAACAAATGGATAAAGAAAAGGTTTGACAAAACAACAAAGAAAGCAATTGATAAATGGAAAAAAAAGCAAATGTTTTTTTAAAATGCTATTTAAAATGTGCATTTAGAAATAACTTCTAATTTACTACTTTATTAAACAACATTTACTGAATCAATGTATTTTTCTATTTAAAATGATTTATTAATGTATTAATTATCTTATTTAACTACATTTTAAAGCATGAATTTAACAGTTTTAAACATTCCCATTTATTTTGCCATTTAAAAATGATGTATTATTTAATTACATTTTAAATCATAATTTAAATAAACTGTTTTAAATATGCCTCTTAATTTGTCCATTTAGAAAGTGATTTATTTATTTACATTTTTATGTTTTAAATATTACGTTGATAACTTATTCCTTCATTTTATTTGCGAATGTCTCTTACTAGTGTTCCATAAAAATCATAGCAATAGAGTTGATATTTTAACACTATTCCAACTAAAAAAAAATATCGAAAAAACAAAAAAATATTAAAAAGAGGAGCGACGTCTGTACTGTAGTGACAGATTATGACAGATTTTTTGGTTTATTAAAAAAACAACAACTTTAATTTGTAAGGGAATATATAGAGAGAATTTAAAGACAAAATGCTAGCTCATATTTCCATTTATTTCAATGATTTTTTAAAAACAAAATATGAGCCACATAGACTTGAAAGAAAGAGAGCAGGAGCTAATAAACAAATGACTGAATTTGTTCACCTGGAGGGCCTTGTCATCCAGTGGGCGGAGTTTGCTCTGAACTTTAAAGCGAGGCTGCTTTTGGGAGGCGGGATCCACTGCACCTGTAAAGATGGACGAATACTCCTGCAGTTTTTCTGGAGCAGGGTATTTGGCACTGGAGAACACCTACACAAACACATAAGACATAAAACCACTCAGTACAGTGCAATCATTATTAATTAGTCATTTAGTTGGTGCTTTAATCCAAAGTGACTAACAGTACAATTATTAGAAGTACAAAATTTCTACAGCTCAAACATTACAGCAGTCAAAATCTTAATGGTCCGAAAAATAGGCTTAATGTTCTTCATTCTAAATTAATTCTAAATTCGAATGAATTCTTAGACCTTTCTTGATAAGTTTTAATGATTAGCTTATGCCCAAACCTACAACTCATATTCACTTTCTGCTCCAGGCATATGTTGCAGAATAAGTTTCTCTTCTACGCTGTGTGACTGACTGTCAGATTCTCTGTGCGTCTGAATCATCTGCATCACCTTTGTGGCTTTCTTGCTTCCTTTGATCTTCTGGACTCTGGCCTGAGCCAGTTTGATCCGGTCTGTGACGGACTGAAGGTGTGCACGGTTCTTCTCCACGCTCTGAGACACCCTGTCAAAACCAAACCAAGTCAAACTAGAACTGCAGGATACAGGTGAACACATTTAAGATCAGAACTTCACAAAAGTGTCATCTGAAATTCAGGCCATTCTCAATTTCATTTGTTGTTGATTAAAACGGTTTCACAATGAATCCAGTTTAAGCCAGTATGTTTGCTGGATGGTTAACTATTGTTACATGATCGACATTGCTCATTTCAATTTCAAAAATGACATTTTTAATCTGCCTATGACAAATAAACTCATTCTGTTTTGCAGGTATTTCTGAAAGACAAATTCTATGTAAATACTGCATTAAGTACAAATTTAATTTTGTAATTTTGCAGTTTTGTGTGCTTAATGTGCTATAAGAAATAAGGTTATAAGTGCATCATTGCTTTTTTAAATTTAACCAAGAAAATCCCATTGAGATATTGCATTCTCTTCTTCCAGAGAGCCCTGTAATAGACATATAATAATATATGTAATATACATGTATATTTACCATTAAAAAAAGTTTGTCAGTAAGATTCCTTTTTATTTTATTATTAGTTTTATTCAGCAAGAATGCATTACATTGATCAAAAGTGACAGTGAAGACATTTCTGAAGGATCATGTGACACTGAGGACTGGAGTTGTGATGCTGAAAATTCAGCTTTGCATCACAATAATAAATTAAATTTTTAAATATATTCAAATAGAAAACGGTTATTTCGAATTGTAATAACATTTCACAATTTTACTGTTTTTATTGTATTTTTTATCAAATAAATGCAGCCTTGGTGAGCACAGCTGCGACAGCCGAACCTGGACGAATGAGAAACGCTTCAAGTAATATTTTCCAAACAGCATGCTGAATAATGGTGTACTGCAGCACATTAGCAGATGAAACAGCGCGTATACTGTGACCTTGGTGGCTCTATGCCAATGCCATTTGTCCTGGCTTGATATTGTAATGTCTTTTTATTACACCTACTGTAAGCCATCTGTATTTACCAGCCGCGTATCTCTTTCGTTTGTCCATTCTACACTGTTTCTGTGGACAAACATTGCGAAAGGGAAAAAAGATGCCTTGATTGCAGAAGACAGCTACAGTATACGCCAGCCTGAAAACGTCAAAAAAACGCAGCAGGAAGGAGAGCGTAATTGTGCATGTGTACAGTCCTATCATCACTACTGAGTCAGTGTGCTCCTCTGTAGCCTATGGCACTAAACTAAAAGAGACCCTCCATTAGAAACGGGGGAAAATGACAGAAGAATGACTAAAAAGAGAAGGGGGGGAAGGAGAGGCTTAATGGAGCTGACCTAGAAACGCACTGCTTCACCACACACACACACACACATATGTTCCCTGGACCCCTACGTGCCATGTTGTCATGGTAACGCTGTGGATGGTTTTCCAGCCTGTTCAGCTGGAATTAGCATATTTGAGCACTCACTCCCTCACAACTACATCTCATGCAAAACACACTTTTCATTGTGTTTCTCTCCTTTGTTATTTTGACACGGTCTAATCACGCTCCCTCCTTCAATAGCCAGGCGCAACAATAAGGACGGCCTGGGGCCGGTGTGAGGGGGTTTCGGGCCAGCGGACTGAGCCATCACTTACCTTAAAGGACCAGTGCTGCGTCGTCACTACATCTTATGTTTGTTGATCATATATATGCATTTTTATGCCTTGCACACATAAATATTTGCTATGTGTTATTCACCGAAAATGTGTTAATTCTTATGATTTAAATATTGTTCGTGATCGATAAGATTTAAATAAGGATTTTAAACTCTCATCAAGGCTGCATTTATTCGATAATCTAAATAATAAACAGTAATATTGTGAAATCTTATTACAATTTTAAATACCTGTTTTCTACTTTAATGTATTTGAATATGTAATCCATTTCTCTGATGCAAAGCTGAATTTTCAGAATCATAACTCCAGTCTTCAGGGTCACGTGATCGTTCAGAAATCATTCTAATATGCTGATCTGCTGCTCAAGAAACATTTACTAGAATAGAAAGTTGTCTAGCTTGGATTTGAACTAGAAATCTTTTGTAACATTATAAATATTTTACTGCTGCTTTTGATCAGTTTACTGCATCTTTACTAAAAAAAGTATTCATTTCTGTAAAAGAGCAGTACTGTATAAATCCATTTTAATATATTAAAAATGAACTAATACATTATTTATAACAAAAAAAAAAAAGTAAAATAATTCTAAAAAATACATACAAAATATGTTGCTAAAATAAATGTAAGTTCAGCAACATACATGCCAAAAATATTTTTCATAAAATCCATATCCACCTATTAAAAAATCCTTCTTTTTGAGACCTGAATGGGCAACTCAAAAAGTAGCACTAATATATAACATTGGTGTGAACTGCTATAATATTATTGATTCTAGCCTCTTGAACTTCTGCATCTCTGATCTCCACAAAAGCACTCGTTGCAGCATAAAAGAGTGTGTATAAATGTGTGTTCACCTATTGAAGATGTCTGTTGATATCGTTTCCAGGTACTGTAGCGCATCAGTGATCTGATGCACAGCCTCTTCTCTCCTCAGATCCGGCTGGATGAGCGGTACAGAGTACACCTGTCCCTCCAGGTAACGTTTCGGAGTCATCCTACACATACACGGATACACACCAAAGAATCATTCAATCTGTATGAGCAAATTGTGAAATATAAAGTCATTTTAAATGATCTAGTGTTATAATTTGCCAAAGTAGTAGCTGATATGTGTGATGTGCTATACTTAAATATGACATTCAAATACACTGCATACTGAAGTTGGCAGCCCACATAATATTTATGCTTCAGTGGACACTGTATGGAAATGTACATTTCATATCATGTGGGATTTATGCTTTTTGCCCCATAGATACATGGGTCACGTATCTATCATGAAACACTAATCCAGCCTCACAAGAGTCGGATAAAGTTGAATAAACACGGTTATGTTGTGTGTCGCAATGCAAACCTTTTAATAAGAGAATATAATAGTAATACGACAGTTATCTGAAACAAATCAGCTGATTTGATATGCATAACGCGAGCATCCTGCATTCACCGCTGAAGAAAACACAACGGCCAAAAATGAACGGATAACTAAAATATCTATGAGATGCCGCTGTTAAGATAGAAAGGGAACACTTTACCTGACCATTTATTTGCCAAAAGCGCAAACGTTCGGCTGCTTGAAGGCGCTCAGACTTTCAGGATCAGAACTTCCGCATTCTCAGATCACGTGACGCCTGACGTCAGCGCGTAACAACGGAAGAAAAAACGCATAAAAATAAAAACAAAACAAATTTAAAGTATATCATTTATCTACGTACCAATATTGTATGAATTATTAAAATATTTATGAAATGTCTATTAAAATGCTAAAACTGACTCGTGTATGAGACATTATGACTTTTGAGCATCTGTTGTGTTAATCATTTTCACTTTTCATTTGTACTATTATTATTATTATTATTATCACCATGATCATTGTTATTGCCGCTGCTGCTGTTTTTGTTAACAATATAATTTTTTAAGATAATTGATCATAATTTTAATTGATCAAATCATAATTTGAATTCATCATTAATCATAAAATAATCATTATAAAGATAATTTGGCATTCATCATGATGTATGTCCTCGTGTGTTTTTCTGTACTTTTGTGTGGGCCACAAGAATCTTAAAATAATTGTCAATGAATAAACAGCTTTCGAAAGTCACTTCTCTTTGTGTGGTATATTTCATGTAGGCAATTTATGAAATGTCTATTAAAATGCTAAAACTGACTCGTGTATGAGACATTATGACTTTTGAGCATCTGTTGTGTTAATCATTTTCACTTTTCATTTGTACTATTATTATTATTATTATCACCATGATCATTGTTATTGCCGCTGCTGCTGTTTTTGTTAACAATATAATTTTTTAAGATAATTAATCATAATTTTAATTGATCAAATCATAATTTGAATTCATCATTAATCATAAAATAATAATTATAAAGATAATTTGGCATTTATCATGATGTATGTCCTCGTGTGTTTTTCTGTACTTTTGTGTGGGCCACAAGAATCTTAAAATAATTGTCAATGAATAAACAGCTTTCGAAAGTCACTTCTCTTTGTGTGGTATATTTATATACGAAAGTTGTGAAGGCGTTTTGGTCAGTTTTGTTAGCAGCAAACCATTCCCATCATTAACTTTCTGATTTTTGCCTTGTTTTCTGTACTATTATTATTATTATTATTATTTTAATTGATGCTTTGGCATTATAGTGAGAAACAGTTATGCTGCTAATAATGCACCCTGAAAATAAGGAGGAAAAGAACTTTCATTTGGTAACCAAGCAACAGAAATGTAAATCTGCAGCAATAAAATAAGACACTAAGCAAGCCATAGGGATGTTTTTTTTTTAGATTAAAAGGCATAAAAAGATACATTTTATAATTAATGATTAATTATTAACAACAAATCTAAATGAACGATTAATATAAACAGAAAAGAAATGAATAAACAAGCATATCCAGATTTCTTATTATTTATATATTTAGGAGATAAATAAACTTAAGCAAACTCTGATATTGCGCCTCATTACGTGCCCCCTGACGTCACTGGCGAACGCGGCCACGCCCCCTTCAAGCCCGTGTTTTGACATCCTCGCATCAGCACCACTCCGCGCATCCCTTCATGCGCGCTCTGGGCACGGAGGTGGAGGCGGAGGCGGGGGTCTCTCTGTCTCTCTCTCTCTCTCTCTCTCTCTCTCTCTCGGCTCAGCCATTTAAATATCAACCCGTGCAACTGGTCAGGGGCACTGAAAACAAGACGCCCCGCTTGGATCGGATCATTTGTCGGCTTTTTCAAGAGGAGCGTCGCACGGGATGTCGAGCCTTCTGGAGAACCCTCTGCAGGCGGTGCTCTATCTGAAGGAGCTCACCGCCATCGTGCAGAACCAGCAGAGTCTGATCCAAACTCAGTATATACGAAAGTTGTGAAGGCGTTTTGGTCAGTTTTGTTAGCAGCAAACCATTCCCATCATTAACTTTCTGATTTTTGCCTTGTTTTCTGTACTATTATTATTATTATTATTATTTTAATTGATGCTTTGGCATTATAGTGAGAAACAGTTATGCTGCTAATAATGCACCCTGAAAATAAGGAGGAAAAGAACTTTCATTTGGTAACCAAGCAACAGAAATGTAAATCTGCAGCAATAAAATAAGACACTAAGCAAGCCATAGGGATGTTTTTTTTTTAGATTAAAAGGCATAAAAAGATACATTTTATAATTAATGATTAATTATTAACAACAAATCTAAATGAACGATTAATATAAACAGAAAAGAAATGAATAAACAAGCATATCCAGATTTCTTATTATTTATATATTTAGGAGATAAATAAACTTAAGCAAACTCTGATATTGCGCCTCATTACGTGCCCCCTGACGTCACTGGCGAACGCGGCCACGCCCCCTTCAAGCCCGTGTTTTGACATCCTCGCATCAGCACCACTCCGCGCATCCCTTCATGCGCGCTCTGGGCACGGAGGTGGAGGCGGAGGCGGGGGTCTCTCTCTCTCTCTCTCTCTCTCGGCTCAGCCATTTAAATATCAACCCGTGCAACTGGTCAGGGGCACTGAAAACAAGACGCCCCGCTTGGATCGGATCATTTGTCGGCTTTTTCAAGAGGAGCGTCGCACGGGATGTCGAGCCTTCTGGAGAACCCTCTGCAGGCGGTGCTCTATCTGAAGGAGCTCACCGCCATCGTGCAGAACCAGCAGAGTCTGATCCAAACTCAGCGATACCGGATAGACATACTCGAGCGCCGGCTGGAGGATCTAGCGGTTGAGAATCGGCAGCTGCGGGACTCCAGCAGCCATCACCGGCACCCTCCCCGCTATCATCCGCCTCCGCCCCCCCGGACCTCCAGCCTGCCCCGAACCAGCAGAGCCGGGACGCCCCCGGTCCAAACCAAGCAGCAGCAGCAGCAGCAGCAGCAGCATCATTCCCCCCTGGACATGCAGCTCGTTCCTGCGGGACCCAGCAATGCCAGCCAAGACTCTGCTGATGAAGATGATAATGATGCTCAGGACCCCTGCTGTCGGTCCCTGGTCCCACAGACACCTGCCACCTTGTGCCGAGCTGTGGGACTCCCACGGGCATCTGAGTAAGTTCTCATCACACCTTCAACAAATCAGTCTTTTTCTGTAGGAAAACATGAGATCGGTGAGGCAGATTACATGCGCCATCAGGATTACATAACAGAGGAATTTCACTCTATGTAGGCCACAGTGAATATGCAATTGCACATCAATAATACCACGATCACACAAGCATGATGATTTGCATCAATAAAATCATTCAGCATGCTGTTTTTGAGATCATGTGGGTTTGTAATCTATCAGTGTTTAAATGCATGCGTGTGTGTTGCATTCTTAAATTAACAGCACACTCTAAAATAGAAGAAAAATGATTATAGGTCAGCATTAGTTCAGTTCTTTCCAGGGCAAAAGGTCTTGAGAAAGAGGTTGTTAATGCACCTGATTATTTTGCAGCAAGAATGCATTTTAAAAAGCACTTAAAAACACTCTATTGGCATGCAAACACACACACACACACACACACACACACAGATTTATGCGTAAAGTGAGGCTTTAAGTGACATTCCCATAGTGCATGTGAAGTTGATCTGCCAGCTGGTATCTAATCCACAGTAAGAGAGAGAAAGAATGAGAGATTCAGAGTGTGTGTGTGTGTGTGTCGTCTATTACGACTGCTCATCTGCTTCAGTGCACATCTCATGCTGCATTTGTAGAGTACTCCCTCTGTGTGTGTTTATGTGTGTGTGAACCCCACAAGCAAAACTGGAATGATACATTCCGCTCTGATTTGTTTAATGGTAGCATTACCTGATCCTTTAGGGGACAAACACTTAGTCCTGAGTCAGAGAGCATATTACCTTGTTGTGTGTTTCTTTCTTATATGACAGAATACGTTTAGTTGTACTGTAAGTGTGAGATGCTCATTACCAATGAGTTTTAGGGCCCAATTATGCTCATGCACGCAGCTCATTAAAGTTAATCTCACATCAATATCATCAACGTGTCTGGTTATGACAGGTATATTTTGAGACTGTTGCATCTTTATTAGCAAATGAGACAGTGTGTTTGCAATAGACACTTTAATAGTTCACTAAAAAATGAACATATGCTGAAAATTTACTCACCCTCAGGCCATCCAAGATGTAGATGAGAACATTTGGAGATATTTAGAATTACATCTCTTGCTCACTAATGAATCCTCTGCAGTGAATGGGTGCCGTCAGAATGAGAATCCAAAAAGTTGATAAAACATCACAATAATCCACAAGTAATCCACACCACTCAAATTCATTATTAAGACATTTTAACTTTAAACCATTACTTCTGGACAAAATATCAGTCCTCTATCCATAATTTTGTTTTCGCCAGTGAAAAACATCAGAAGAGAAATATGCACAGATTTCAAGCGAAAACAACCCAAATTGGATTTTGATGTGAGAGGACAACAGGGGATGGACTTTTTAACTGGAGGAAGCGTAACTGTGGATTAAGGGCTGGTATTTTGGTCAGAAGTGACTATTTAAAGTTAAAAAAACATCTTATGTCGACACCCTCATGTCATTCCAAACTGGCATTCTTCTGTCGAACATAAAAGAAGATCACAAAAATGTAGTGATGCATCATTTTAAGCAAGAAAGCTATTGGGAATTTTACATACAAAACAGAATATTATGTAAATAATGAATATTGCATAATCACAATAGCAGGACTGCAAGGAAGTGATATGCAAATATGATTATATTAATAGCACTTCACGTTCTCATGTTATGCTGGAGTGTGAAGCAAACATATCTGATGTGCTGTCAACAAAGAAAACTCATCCTGAGCTTTGAATTTCCCTGGACTCCTAAATTAGAGACTGAAGTGTTTAAAATGTTCACTTAATCGGGAAGGAGTTGTGGATTTCTGAAAGAATTGTGAGCAGCCATTGCTTTGTGATAGCCCGGATGAACTGTTCCTCCAAGACGTTATTTAGAGGCTAGTGGTTCTTAACTGGTAGGTTTAAACCTAAAACCGCAGGTATGTTCTGTTTGTAGAAATCTTTCTGAGTGCAAAAATCTTACCCGTTTCATTTATGCATGACTGACAGATGTGGCTCAGTTTATTAGTTAGTATATACTGAAAGTACGTTATCCAAATGAATGCCAGTTTTATATGCAAATACATAAACATTACGTTTATGCCTAAATACTGTTTGAGTGTACTTCTGAGTGCCCAATAGTCTGGATTCGGAAGCAAACCCAGTTGAGAATCACCACACTAAGCTACAGCAATCCCTATACGTGTTCAAAGAGCACAAATGAAGTACCATGCAAATAATATTGCATTGCATTTAATTGCAGTAATGTGGATTTAAACCTTTACAGGAGCCAGACCGTCCTGCACCAGTTCTGCTGTCCCGCACCAGAGGCCCCAGAAGGAGACTCCCTAACCTGCTCCAGGTGAGGATGACACCTTATGCAACAAGCCAATCAGAAAAGAGTTAGTCTTTCTAAATGCCAAACAAACAAATTGTACAATATGAGCAAGTGATGCAGTAAGGAGAGTGTGAATCTACTTGTTTACCACAGCTGTCTGCATTGGTTAAGTTTTCCATCCTTGAATGGTAGTGGTTTTCTGTTTGCAGCCCCTGTTCTCTTGGCCTGAGGCATTCTGGGTGATGGGATTCAAGCTAGCGGAGTGTAAGTGTGTGTGTGTGTGTGTGTTTGTGAGAAAGAGAGTAAGTGTATGCTGCAGGTATAGTTTAACCCTCATCCGTCCTCTGTCTGATAGACTGGAAAACTCTGGGCATGGATAAGCACCGTCACTCAGGTGAAGAGAGAGTCTGTGTGTGTGGGTGTGTGTGTGTGTGAGTGTGGCAGTTCTGCACTATTTTGGGAACTTCAAACCATCTGAGCTTTGTTGACTGCATATTTTATGTTGCCAACAAAATCAAGTCTTAAAAGCTCTTCTTAATTAAACAGCACATGATGACTGTGAACAAAGTCAGTTCTAGACAACAGAAAATCTATACTTTTGTGTCCAAATTGGAAGAAATCATGACCTCATCTTTGCAGCAAACTGATAAAGTGCTAATTATTTTTTGACCCTCACAAAAAGCTCTGAATCATATTTTCCAATTTTTGTGGTAAACATTAAAGAGGAGCTTTATTTCTGCAGAAATAATTAGAAATCTATTCTAATATGTCCTGAATGGTTGAGAAAGGGCAAAAAAGAAAAGGAAGAAAAAAGATAAGTATGCAGTCAGAGTGCATTTTGTTTCTCACCTGTAATGCAATGTAAAAAATATTTGGTTAAATTGACAGTAAAAAAAAAACTGTCTGCGGTGGTTGCCAGAAATTCACTGTAAAAAATTCAGTGACAGTGTTTGCTGTATTACAGGATGCCTGTATAATTTAAAACTTAGAACATATATTTAATTAATTGATGGAATGTTAATACACCAAGCTACTTAAACTACTGAAATATGCATTTTACCTATAAATAATACAGGTGGTTCAATAGAAAGCCACTTGACAAAAACACAAAACTAAAAAAAAAGCAATGAACTAAAAAAAATAAATAAAAATAAGAACCAAAATTAATTATAGTTCTATGTGATGTCACGTAGGGTCTTCTAGGAATGTCCAACTATTTTTCCACCATAAATTATATGGTAATTTGTTGTTTTTACTTACAAAAAACATACATTTTACAGAATTACACAGTATGAAATTACATATAAGTGAATGTTACACATTTTCACAGAATATAGTTATAGAAAAAAAAATACTGTAGAATTTTATAGTATTTTTCTGTAGAAATTTCATTACATGCAAAAAAAAACCATTAAAAAAATTACACAATGCCATGTTAAACTACCATTTTTAATACATTGTTACAATTAAGTAAATATTTTTACTGTAACATTTTTACAGTATTTTTCAGTAGAAATGACATGATTTACAGAGTAGAAAAAATGTAAGTGGAGCTTGGCTGTGCAAAACTTTTTTTTTAGCATTTTTCTACGCCGTTGCGGTTGCTAGGGTGTTCTGATGGTCACTAGGGTGTTATGGGTGGTGAGTAGTGATATCCATAGCTCCGATGGTGTTGCTTCAGTGGTGAACTGAAGTTTAATGCTCAGGGTTAGATGTTTGTTTAAATCACTAACCGTAAGCCTGAGTAAGCACCACTAATTAAGTTTTATTGATGCCAATTTTATCGATGAACAGGAGAGAGCAGTTTAATTTTTGCAAAAGCCTATCGTGATTGTGTGTCAGTTATTTCCCAAATGATCAGGAAAGGGGGTTGGGTGGGAGAGAAAAACATAAGCATGCAGTAGTTTCTCACCTTTTATTTGCACAGATCGTCTGCCTGGGTTTCTGTCGTCATTCACAATCTGTTTTTAAACAGCTTGAGAGAGAGAGAGAGCATATTTATTGAGTCATAACACAGGAAATGACATCAAACCCTGCTACCAGCATCACATGCTCTCTCACATAAAGAGTGATATCACATTTCAGTTTGGGTTCTCAGATCAATCGCGCAGTGACCTAATGATCTGTAGTGACCGTGTGCACCGGCATCTCTTTTCACACTCTTTTAAGGTTCTGCTGCATTTGTTGTAGTTCCTCAGAGGCGAGCAGTACTTGGCGCGTGAAAGATGGAAAAGCCTGCTCTCTGCTCCTCGTGTATGAGTGCTTACAGAGCTTAAGTGGTCTTTACTCCAGGGAAGCAGCTAATATGCTGACAGGGAATGCAGTCAGCAGTGTGCTTGTGTGTATTGTAAACCCGTGTCTACACTGAGAGAGAACCTGGAGAAAATAGAAATGGGGTTGAGCCATGTTGTTAAGCAGAAGGAAAGTACTTTGTGACATCTCTCATGATTTAAACATCTGCTTTCCACTCAGAAATGCTTTTTCATGAGCTCAACATAAGAGGAAAATGGTAAGATTGTGTGGGGTGCTAACCTCGGAAATTTGGTTTGATTTAGTCTTTGGTTTTTGGAATTTATACAGAACCTATCCATTGAAATTTACTAATTGAATTTACTATTTGAGTAACCAAATATTTTTTATTTAATAAATTATTGAATTTTAACTAGTTTTGCAGAAGCGTGTTTTTCATATAATTTATATATATATTAATATTTATCTTACTATATATATATATATATATATATATAGTATACATATTAACAATTTAATGACTTGTATATACTAATTACATTAAAAATTATATAAGATAAAATGATAGAAAAAATTATATATGATTTATTGATTTAAATATGATATGATTTGATTTATATATATGTATAGATAAAATGTTTATATACAAATGTGTATGTGTATACAGTACATACAAACAACAATTTCATTTTTGTCTTATTGATTCAATGAATAGTTTAAAAACCCAAAATTAATAATGGTATTTTATTTTAATTTAATTCAATTTTTGTTGTCTCATTCAATAAGCAGATTCTGACAATTAATTGATGATTTGGAAAGATGAACTGAAACCTTCGCTTGCTTACGTCATTTTCTATGAAGGCTGCGTTGAATCTGAAATCTGGGAAAGCCTGCATGTAGTAATTAAGCAGAGTTCATTAGTCCTGAGTGCGCAGTGGGTTCTAATCAGTCTAGATTAAAAGACGGTGAATCTGGGTCAGCCACTGCTCACTTGTGTCATTTGAAACCGCAGCTCGATTCCTGCTGCAGGAGAAGAACAGAAAGATGAGAAAAAAGAGGCCCAGCATGACGCGCCGCCCTGCTCACATCCTCCAGAATATGAGCTCTCTCCTGATCTCAAACAAAAACAGGTACGACCCAACGGACACGCATTTGTACAAAATGATCCTTTGATATGAAGAGCATGAAACGATAAGTTGATTTTGTATCTATCTATTTATCTGCAGATAGAGGAACTGGAGCAGAAGTACGGTGGTCCTCTGATTTCCCGGCGAGCGGCCTGTAAGATCCAGATGGCGTTTCGTCAGTACCAGCTCAGTAAGAACTTCCAGAAGATCCGGAACTCGGTTCTGGAGAGTGGGATCCCGCGGCGCATGTCTGTGCGCAGGGTCCGGGTACAGAGGGACCGGTTTTCTGCTGAACGGGCGCTGATGGAGGGATGTTCACTCATGGGCATCCCACTCAGACACTCCACCTCACTGCCGGTGGCCACTACAACCACACTCACACACCTGGAGGACACATTCACTGAACAGGTACAGGTACACCATCAACATGTGATATCTATTCAGCATATTTCTATTACAGTCTTTCATGAATTCAAGCACACAAACAATGCTGTTCTATTCATGCAATTTTTTTGTTTGATTCTATTGCATTTGGTTCTGTTCTGTCTTTTTGATTAGTTCTGTTTCATTTTACTCCAATATGTTCTGTACTATTCTATTCAGATATGTTGTTTTTTTTCTATTGTATTCCATTCTAGTCTATTCAAATGTTGTTATTTTCTGTTGTGTTCTGTTCTATTTCATTTTATTCTGTTCTATTCAGTTCAAATATGCTGTTCTATTCTATCCTGTTCTATTCAAATATGTTGTTCTGTTCGTATTCCATTCTATTTGGTTCTTTTATTCAGTTTAAATATGTTCTTATTCTCTGTAGTCTGTTCTATTCAAATCTTGTTCTGCTCTATTTTTTAAATTCAGTTTAAATGTTCTTTTCTGTTGGATTCTGTTCTGTTGTATTTGGCTCTATTCAATTCAAATGTTATATTCTATTCAAATATCTTACTCTTCTGTTGTATTTGGTTACATTGTTTTTTTTCTCTATTCAGATATCTTTTTCTATTGTATTCATTCTATTCAGTTCTATTAAAATGTTGTTCTGTTCAGTCATATTTGGATTTATTCTACTTGGTTGTCTTCTATTCAGCTTAAATGTTGTTGTTCTTTTCTGTTGTATTCGCTTATGTTTTATTTGGTTCTATCCAATTTAAATGTTCTTTTTTTGTTGTATGCTGTTCTGTTGTATTCATTCCATTCTGTTCTATTCAAATATGGTGGTTTATTCCGTTTTCATTCTATTCCATTCAATTCAAATATGTTGTTCTATTCTAACTTGTACTATTAAAATATGTTGTTCTAGTCTTTTCTGTTTTATTCACACTTGTTGTTCTATTTTATTTTATTTTCCCTGCCAGGTTCAGTCATTAGCGCGGTCTATTGATGAGGCTTTGAGCAGCTGGAGTTCTATTCGAGATGGAGAAGGAGAGACGTCCACTGCGGCCCCTCCCTCTGGATCCCATCCCGAGGGGCTCCTGGTGGACCCCGCTGCCCTACAGGATGCCAAGCAGAGCGGCTGTGGGGAGAACATACCCCGCAGCGCCAGTAAACTCATGATGGCTTTCAGGGATGTGACTGTTCAAATTGACAACCACAACTTTCGCCTCTCCTCCTCAATGCTGGAGTCAGTTTCTCTTGGTAACGGCGTAGCCAAGGAGACCAGCTTGGAACCCCAAATGCGGGGACAGAACGCAGGCCAGTCGGCATCAACGGCTACGGCAGAGCCTGAGTTTCCAGCTCCGCCACCCAGTGAGGAAGAGAAGGAGAACCAACAGCCAACCGGAACAGACGAACTGACAGCAGGGGCGGGACCGGAGGGGAAACAGACCAATCGGATTGCATCAGAGACAGCGGAAAACAGCTCCGAGCCCGTCAGTAGCAGCAGCACCTCCACATCAGCATGTGAGACGATGATTCTGTCTCTGCCCCGCCCACATTGTCAGGACACGCCCTGCGGCACACTCTCCACAGATATTGCACGCAAACGCCTTTACCGCATTGGACTCAACCTCTTCAATGTGTGAGTACAAAGGTTAAAAGTCAAATGTTTTCATTTACAGTGGCTTTTTTTAGTGTTAGAGGTTTTGCCATGTTTGAAAGTCTCAGATGTCCCACAAAGACAGTCAAGTGATCATTATTTACATAGCGTTTTTTTTTTTACATTCATTTGTTTTATTATTATTATGTTTTTTATTTCATTTTCAGTAATTTTAATTTTAGTTTCACTTTTAGTATTTTTTTGTTCCTTTTTGACATTTAGTTTTTTTCTGTATTTCTATATAGTTTTATTTTGATTTCAGTTTAGTACTTTACAGTAATTTTAGTACTGCAGTAATTTTCATTTTCAATTTTAGTTTAATTTTTAGTAACTTTTGTTGTTGCTTTGACATTATGTTCAGTTTTCTTTCTTTCTATATTTCTATATAGCTTTAATTGATGTATTTATAATTGTAGTACTGTAAAATTAATTTAGTTACCAAGGCAACATTTCAAATTTTTAAGTTTTTCAAGTAATATTTATATTTTATTTAAGTTACTGAAGAAAACAACAACAATAGTTTTAGTTAAAAAAATATTGCAAATTTTACAATCTTAATGAGGAAAACTGCTTCATAAAGGGATATTTTCTCTTTAAAATATCGGTTTGAGTTAGTCTGTCTGTGTCTTATCTTTTAAATCCTAATTCAATTTCTGAATATGAATATCAAGGTGCAGAATTGCAATGTGAATATAAAGAAGTAGTATTCAGTTAGAAGAAATTCTTATGAAATATTCATTCAACTGTCATATTTAACTGGAAATGCAAAGTTTGTTACAGTAAACTTTAAATTTGGCTTGTCAAATACTTGTTTGAAAGTTCTGAAAAGTTTGTAGTTTAAAGGTTTTTAGGCCTTACAAACATATTATAGAATTGTTTAAATTACTAACCCTAAAGAAAAGAGCTTTTGTTTGCAGGGTTAGTTTGACCATGACTAAAGAGTTGAGTGCATTTTCATTATACTTGCTGTTATATATATACACACTGACAAAAACACACACGCTTTCTCATGTATACATACTCAAAAAGACTATATTATACTCCCTCGGGTGATTGTGAGGCTCTTTCTCTGCTCCATTTTGTGTGTTTAGCTCTTTCAGACACGCGCGCGCACACACACAAGCAGAATAAAGCCAATCCTCATAGGATTCAGAGTGCATCAGCACTCAATTGAAATCTCAGATCAGATTTACTTTGACATGCTTGACGTGAGTAGCACCACTGTTGCCATGGCAACCAGGTGATCCACACACACACTCACACACACACACAGTTTTACTCCGACTGTAACTAAGCGACACTGTTTTTTAAGATTTCTTTGAGGATGTATGTGGGAATTTTGTTTTTTTCAGCTATTTGCTCACAATGAGTAAGTGGCGTGTAGCTTGTTTAGGGTATACTTTGACATGCTTGACGTGAGTAGCACCACTGTTGCCATGGCAACCAGGTGATCCACACACACACACTCACACACACACACAGTTTTACTCCGACTGTAACTAAGCGACACTGTTTTTTAAGATTTCTTTGAGGATGTATGTGGGAATTTAGTTTTTTTCAGCTATTTGCTCACAATGAGTAAGTGGCGTGTAGCTTGTTTAGGGTGCTGCACGTGTGTGTGTGTGTGCGTATGTGTGCTTGCCGGTATAATGTCAGATGTGACCTGGGAAGACATTCAGCGTGGTGGAAATGATGCACGACTCAGTGATGTCATCTCGAAGTCCAATACTAAAGAAAGCTAGGAACAGACAAATACAGAGAAAGAAATATCAATATTATTATAAATAATAATCTCCAGAAACAGAAACTTTCACTGGGATCCATTGTGACATATTGAACACCCCCCCCCCCCCCCCATAAATCCACGTACAATGAGGGAAATTTTTTTAAAACAACTGTATTCTATTGTAATATATTTTAAAATGTGATTTATTACTGTGATGCAAAGCTGAAGTTTCAGCATCAATACTCCGGTCTTCAGTGTCACATGATCCTTCAGAAATCATTCTAAAATACTGATGTGCTTCAGAAACATTTCTTATTATTATCAATGTTGAAAATAGTTGTGCTGCTCAAAAATTGAGAATTTTTATTATAATATGAAAAAATTATATAAATTTTTTTGTCCGGATTCTTTAGTGAATAAAGTAGAAAATGTATTTGATTATTATAAATGTAATTACTGTTGTGATGCACATATGGACGAGTGCGTCTGTGGAACAGAATGTCAGCAAGATGTTTACTGACGTGGAAAATAATCTGCATGTAAATACTGTATGCTTCTAGCTAAGATTATCTCTCACAAGAGAGATATACAGTACATACAGTACGTAAACCTGCGCACATGCATGCAGTCCTCCTCTGTTATTATCAATGTTGAAAATAGTTGTGCTGCTCAAAAATTGAGAATTTTTATTATAATATGAAAAAATTATATAAATTTTTTTGTCCGGATTCTTTAGTGAATAAAGTAGAAAATGTATTTGATTATTATAAATGTAATTACTGTTGTGATGCACATATGGACGAGTGCGTCTGTGGAACAGAATGTCAGCAAGATGTTTACTGACGTGGAAAATAATCTGCATGTAAATACTGTATGCTTCTAGCTAAGAATATCTCTCACAAGAGAGATATACAGTACATACAGTACGTAAACCTGCGCACATGCATGCAGTCCTCCTCTGTTTTTTTTTCTGGAAACAATTCATAACTTTCACAAGCTCAGACTGAATGCAAATATTTTTTTTTGTATTTTCTGCTCTCAATTTGGACAGAAAACAGCAGAAATTTGTTAAAAGGTTTCTTCAAAAAAGCATTAAATAATGCTTAGTTTGTATATGCTATCGGTCAAAGTTTGAAATCGTTAAGATTTTTATGCTTATGAAATACGATCCAAACAATAAAAACAGCAATATTGTGAAATATTATTACAAATTACAATGTTTTCCGTTTTAAAATATTTTTAAATGTCTTTCAAAAACGTGCACGTGAAAACATTAAATGTACTTGCAGTACATTATATCATTACATAATGTTAGCTAATTTTCCTAATGAACATTATAATTAAGTGTTAGCTCTAGCTTCTTGAGAAAGAGAAAATCAGTTGTCTCACCGACATCCTTCTTGATCTTCCTGCAGCAATCCAGACAAAGGCATCCAGTTCCTGATCTCCAGGGGCTTTATTCCGGACACAGCCATTGGTGTGGCTCACTTCCTGCTGCAGAGGAAGGGTTTGAGTCGACAGATGATTGGAGAGTTCCTGGGTAACAGCAAGAGGCAGTTCAACAGAGATGTGTTGGAGTGAGTTGTGTCTTCAGAACCTTTTATGCACCATAGTTTTCTCTGTATCACAGTCATTTTGTAGACAATTACATATCCTCTGAGGCAAAGGCCTCTTTAGTCCTAAATCATATAAAACATTTATAATAAGCCCTGAAACATTTATTAATATTAGCTGAATTAAAAACTGCTCACTATACAATCAGAATGAGAGTTATTGCCAGGTAAGATTACAGTATGTTTGAAGCTTCCAATGCACCGGAATAAATAAATATACATAATGTAAACACAGTAGACAAATGATGTATGAACATAACTGAAAACATACAAAATATAGTATATGTCACTAAATTTCTATAGTTAAAAAATGTAGTATAGTTTAATTAAATAAATATAAAATACATAAAAAATATTTTAATGTGGTTAATCTTTTATTGCATTTATAACAAATAATAATAATAAATAAACTCTTTAGTTCTCTTTAATTCAATTTTCTTTAATAAAAAAAATGAAATAAATATACACATTATAAACACAATAGACAAATGTATGTACATTTCACAGAATATAAAAAATGTATGTACAAATATGCTATTTACACAAAATTATGTAAATTAAGATTATGCATTTTTTGTTATGATTATGCGAAGAAAGTCTGAATTGTCATTGCCAATAAATCTAAATTAGAAAATATTGTCACATATATTATTAAACCGCAGTGTTAATCAACAAACTCTAAAATGATACCTTTGTTTTGAAAGGGAAACATTAAGACTAGAGTTAATATGACTGAATTAACCTAACTGCAATAGCTTATATTAAGCAACGCATGAATATAACCATATGGGGGTTATAATTTAAGAACCAACGACTGAAGGCATTAATGGCACATTTTCATTTCTTACAGTGCTGGAGCCCCATAAATTGGGCTCTTAATTTAAACGGAGCACATTTATGAGTTTTCTGTGGTCTCTCTCTCAGCTGTGTGGTGGATGAGATGGATTTCTCCATGCTGGAGCTGGATGAAGCTTTGAGGAAGTTTCAGGCTCATGTGCGAGTGCAAGGAGAAGCTCAAAAAGTCGAGAGACTCATTGAAGCATTCAGGTGAGAATCACACACACTCACACCAGTGCTGGAAATGAAGAGTCACTATGGTAATTTTATCCATTGTGTGCAGAGCATTGACTATAATGCGCATGAATATTTTTCCTTTCAGTCAGAGGTACTGTATGTGTAACCCTGACGTGGTGCAGCAGTTTCATAACCCCGACACCATCTTCATTCTGGCCTTCGCCATCGTTCTGCTGAACACAGACATGTACAGTCCCAACATCAAACCAGAGCGCAAGATGCTTCTAGAAGACTTCATACGCAACCTACGAGGTGTGTTTACAGTATGTGTGTTGTTAATTAAAACCGGAGCCTGTTGCTGTTTTGAGGTCAGAGATCGGATATTTGATTTTAAATCTTGCCAATTTTAATCAGCTTTCCATCTTCATGTTTAAATTTGCATTTTTGTTTTCATATCAAAAGAGACATTTTGATTATCTCCTAGGAGCGTAGGCAGTGTGTGTCTTGGATGGATTCCTGGTCTCTGATCAAATCGTTTTTGATCTGTTGCCTACTTTCCGCAGATATAACAAACACATACGGCATTAGAGAGCCGCACTTTAAAGTGAGATGTAAAGACATGGGGACTGGAACAAAATCAGAGCATGCTATTAGTCGAGCTAATGATGGGATTTTTCCATAAGCCAAATAAACCCTCACTTTAGAAAAAGTACACAGTGGCACTTCTGCTTTTTATGTGAGCTTATTTCCGCCATGGAATAAATATATAATTCAGACTCTTTTCTGTGAGTTGATATCTCACAATTGTCCGTAATAAACTCCTAACGTTTTTAATTCAAACTCCTAACGTTTTTAATTAAAAAAATTTAAATTTCGCAATTAATACCTCACAACTGCAATATATAAACAGTCTGAATTGCGAGTTTATAAATCTGACTTTTTTTTATCAGAATTTGACAATAACTTGCAACTGTAAGAGATTAACTTGCGACTCTGAGAAAAAATGTAGAATTTAGTTTATAATTCTGACTTTTTTCAAGGAATCCTAAGTTTACGTTTTGCAATTAATAACTCGAAAATGCGGGATGTAAACTCGTAATTCTGATTTAAAAAAAAAGCCAGAATTGAGTTTGTAGTTCGGACTTTTTAATGAGAATTATGAGTTTACATTTTGCAATTAATAACTCACAATGCTGAGATATAAATTCACAATTCTGAGGAGAAAAAAGTCAGAATTACCAGTTTATAACTCACATTTGCAAGATATAAACTCGCAATTCTGAGAAAAAATGTCTGAATTGCACATTTATAAATCGGACTTTTTTCTCAGACTTTCACAATTAATAACTCGCAATTGTAAGAGATTAACTCGTGATTCTGAGGAAAAATTGTAGAAGTTTTAATTCTGACTTTTTTTAAATCAAATAATTCTAAGTTTACGCTTCGCAATTAATAACTCACAAATGTGAGATGTAAACTCGTGATTCTGATTAAAAAAGTCAGAATTGGGAGTTTATAGTTCTGACTTTACATTTTGCAATTAACAACTCACAATGCTGAGATATAATTTTGCAATTCTGAGAAAAAAGGGCAGAATGACCAGTTTCCAACAACTTGCATTTGCAATATATGAACTTGCAATTCTGAGAAAAAATGTCTGATTTTACATTTCGTAATTAATAACTCAGAGGAGAAAGAAGTCTGAATTATGAGATGGAAGTCACAGTTGTGAGGAAAAATATCCAAATTCTGTGATTAAAAAAAAAACTTAAAAAAAATACTTATTCTGTGGCTTTCCACAGCTTATCCATATATTTTGGTCCTTGTTAACAAGAGATGAATTCCTATTACACAATAGGCAATCCAGAACACTGTACAGTTTTCCAAACTTATAACATTTTAAAAACTAATGCAAGAATATAGTTTAAGTTCATAACTAAATTCACCTTCAGGAGTGGACGATGGTGCAGATATTCCACGAGAAATGCTAGCCGGGATTTACGAACGGATTCAGCAGCGGGAGCTGCGCTCCAACGAGGATCATGTGACTTACGTTACCAGAGTGGAGCAAAGCATTCTAGGAATGAAGACAGTGAGTCACTTCTCTACCAATTATACACAAAGGTCACGTAAATGTGAAAAGTGCATCACCTTTCGGTTCAGCTTGCACTTTGAAAAGGTGATTAGAGACCGTGAGATGTCTGACCGAACAACTGGCTTCTCAACATTACATTTATTATTGGGTCTATGACTATCACTCATACTAGTGTAATGATTTCAACAACCTCTAACACTATATTGAACTTAACCTGAACCGTTTGTGCTACACAAATAACAAGAGATTCTCCTTTCAGATTCAGGTTTCTTCATTTTTAAGGAATTAATATTTAGAAAGTGCAATTACATTGTCAAAAGATGAGATGGATTTATGTTTAAATATAAAATGAAAAAGGTATACATATTTCATTCATTATTTATAAAATACTGTTGACAAAAGGTGTCATGTGCATCTTTAATATTTTTAACCACATGTTGTCATATGAACAAACAGTCACTGATTTAAATCTCACAGCTAGTTGTAAGCTGTATGTGTTTGATTCACTAAAATAGATTCATTAGTTCATGAATCAGAGTACACTGGTTGGTTGCATTATGATTCACTAAAAAGATCCGGAGTTCAAGAGTCAGATTACTGGTTATGCAATACTGTATGTTTTTGATTCACTAAAACGTGCCGGCTTATAAGAAACATTTGTTTGTGAATTAGACCATACTGGTTACTATGAATGTTTTTGATTCACTAAAACAGCTCAAAATAATCATTTGTTCCAGAATCAGACAACAGTGGTTGCGCTGAATGTTTTTGATTCACTAAAAAAAAAAAACGGCAGCTCATAAGATTCATTTGTTCCAGATTCAGAAAACGCAGCTAGTTGTAAGCTGTATGTGTTTGATTCACTAAAATAGATTCATTAGTTCATGAATCAGAGTACACTGGTTGGTTGCATTATGATTCACTAAAAAGATCCGGAGTTCAAGAGTCAGATTACTGGTTATGCAATACTGTATGTTTTTGATTCACTAAAACGTGCCGGCTTATAAGAGACATTTGTTTGTGAATTAGACCATACTGGTTACTATGAATGTTTTTGATTCACTAAAACAGCTCAAAAGAATCATTTGTTCCAGAATCAGACAACAGTGGTTGCTCTGAATGTTTTTGATTCACAAAAAAAAAAAAACGGCAGCTCATAAGATTAATTTGTTCCAGATTCAGAAAACATCACCTTTATAAAAAAATTATAAATTGAATAAAAAAAAAATCTCTTGGTTTCTGGACATCCATGTTTTGTCTAACCCACAGACTAGTAAAATCTCGAAACTTTTGACTTGGTCCAGTAATAAACCACTTAGCAACCATCAAGAACACCCTAGCAAAAACATAGCAACATGCAAAGCATTTTCAGTTTAATATCATTGGAAAAGAATACTGTATATAATAGAACAGTACATGTTTTCCTCATTTTAAGTTGTTTATTAGCACTATAAATAATTTAAACATTATTTCTACCATTTTAACTCATTATAATCAGCTAAAGGTTAGCTTGAAATATAATGAATTCTCTATATTCCTCAGTGGTTTGAATGCCACGGTTGTGGGGAATGTTGTGGCCGTCATTAAAGTGAATTATGTATGTGGTTCTCAGGGGAACTAGAAAGACAACAGGTTGTGAGAAATCAAACTAACAAGAACGGCACACAACTAGACATCCACGCTGGACCTAGTTCTGCTTCAGGTACACACACAAATACTTACACGCGTTATACACAACAGTATGCCTGTTTTTGATGTCTTGTGTATTTGTGTGGCTTGCAGGGGATGATTTTTATGAGAAAACGGGAAGCAACACGGTAGAGGTTTGTATCAATAAATCGTGAGTGCAGTGCAAAATTATGTTCAGATTCTGTGTGCATGTGTACAGTGTCCTCCAAAAGTTGGGAATGCCCTAGGCAAAGTGGGGTTTTGGATAATATCAGCATTAATGTTTATAATTTTTTTTAGAGATGTCTTTAGTGATGCATCGATAAGGGATGACTCGATAAGGTACTCACCCTCAGGCCATCCAAGATGTAGATGAGCTTGTTTCTTCATCAGAACAGATTTGGAGAGATGTATCATTAACATCACTCGGATCCTCTGCAGTGAATGGGTGCCGTCAAAATGAGAGCCCAAACAGCTGGGGAAAAAAAGACTTCAGATGAATCCATGCAACTCCAGTCCATCAATGAATGTCTTCTGAAGTGAAAAGCTGTGTGTTTATAAGAAACAGATCCATCATTAGGACTTCAGACTATTGCTTCTGGAAAAAATATGAGTCCATAATCCATAATAATAAGTGAAGCCATAATAAACTTCAAAAGAAACTATAATATAAAATAATACTATAATAATACTTTAATGCATTTACACCAAAAATGTTGAGTATTTATGCTGATATTGTACCATTTTAAAGCCTAAGGTGTTTTCAAATTTTTGGGGAACATTGTAGTTGGTGACAGCACGTTTGTAGTCTATATAGTTATCATCACTATCTCCTTGTAGAATCAGAGATAACCTCCCTACCGGCCCCAAACTCACAGCCCTTTACCCTTTGACCCCTGAGCTCACTCTGACCCCGCTGTCCATCAGAATGGAGACGCCCGCCCTCGGTGTCTTCACTGCAATCACACACCACTGGTGCAGAGCAATAAAAGCACTGCCGCCCCCCAGAAAACACCATCCACCGCCCCTCGCTGTGATCTGTAATCTATGGCCTCTCACTCACTGCTGTGTTTTAATGCTGCATACAGCTGCTGTTGTTGTGGGGTGAAATTCTTCACATGTAAAAATATTTAGTGGAACTGATGTAGACGGTAAGAATACACCGCTGTTTTTAACATTGATAATAATAAAAACTGTTTAATGAGCAGCAAATTAGCATATTAGATTGATTTCTGAAAGATCAAGTGACACTGAAGACAGGAGTAATGATGCTGAAAATTCATCTCTACATCACAAGAATAAATTACATTTTACAATATATTCAAATAGAAAATATATACTTTAAATTGTAATAATATTTCATAATTTTACTGTATTTTTTATCAAATAAATGCAGTCTTAGTGAGCATGGAGAGACCTTTGAATGGTAGTGTACATTAGATCGCAGAATAAAAAACGGTTTGCAAATTGCATATCCAAAACCACTTGCCTACCAGAGGGGGAAAATTTTTTTATTGCTTGTGGAATAACAAAGATAAGATTTGCAATGCACGTCCAGAAATCCAGAAAGGCAATAGTTTCAATAGCTCTTGCACTGGAAGTCATTAAAATTCAAATACTTCATTAAAAAGAGCCGAAATGAAAGGACCGAGCTGTGGTTACTGTGGACAGATAGGCTACACGAATGCGCTTTCACGAGATGCCAAACACATAACACGTATACACATGCAAACAAGCTCTATCAAGACAAGGTGCAAATTACCCAGCATGCAATAAGGACCCTCGCTGCCAAGCGTCTAGGCCCTCGAGGGGCACTTTAATGCTTCTTACAGACGGATAAAAATATAACGGTCTGATTAGCAGCGCAGTAATAAAAGGAAATGCATAAGATAGCAGTTAATTATCCAAATCACTGCAGTTTAAGAAGGAAGTCAGCGTCGCCCGCTTTCACCCATTCTGACCGCGCTGTATGTACGTAGTCATGCTGTGTTTTTCTGCATGCTCTGGCAGACTTTTTGGACTTGTTTTATCACTAACTAAAGTAAATAAAATTTAAAGAAGAAATAAAAGAAGAAAATTAATTTTTGGAGAGAAAAAAATCTGCCATTGCAGTAGGATAAAATACACTAAGTTTTATCATTTATAATAATAAAATATTGTAAAATAATATAATATTATTATTATTATTAGATTTTTTCAAAAATAATATTATAAAAATATCATTAGATGAATTCAAAAATAGATAGAAAATACTTGAGTGGGAAAATATGTTCAAATACTCCATTTAATGCCAAAGAACTTAATTATAAATGTTTTTCACAAAATCTGTCATTTTCTGCTTGGATGTCGTAAAACACCCACAAATATAGCAGAAAACATCTGGGTCATGTTTGCATTTTTCTTTTTTCACTGGCCATTAATTCTAACCTTAAAATCAGGATTAGGTGTAAAATAATGTCTTCAGAATCATTCATACATGAAAATCGGCTGACAATTGAACAAACAGTTGTAACCTGGCTCAGAGGAACACAGGAATCATGTCTTTGTGGCAGTTTTTCTACCGATTAAGTGATAATACAAGACTTCTTCATCTTACAAATGGCTGTCAAAAGCAAAAATGCAACGAAATGCACATATTTTGTGAGAAAGCGTGACATGCTAGAGCAAAACAGCCACTATTTTTGGAATGCGCACCTCAAAATTAGTAGGAAACAAGTAATGGATTTAATTCAGCAAATATGATGCAGGACGGTGTTATTTATATAATATTACAGTATTTATTAATATTTTACATTTGCTTAGCAGCGCAGTAATAAAAGGACGTGCATGTGATAGCAGTTAATTATCCAAATCACAGCAGTAGGATGTCAGTGTCGCCCGCTTTCACCCACTCCGACCGCACTGTATGTATGTATTATTCGTGCTGTGTTTTGCCGCCTGCATGCTCTGTGGCATGGCCTTGTCGTGTGTTTCCGCACCAGAGGGCCGTGAGAGTGCAGCAGGCCAGGCTGATAACGCTTCCTGCTTCTGGCTGTTTCTAAACTAGGTGTCAATTCACAACAGGCTCCAAACGTACCAACTCAGCTCTCCTCTGGCCCCACCCAGCGCTCAGCAACACCTGGCCGTCCTGCCTAGCCCCGCCCCTGGCTCCGCCCTCACCATCTCCCCCGACACCCTGATCCAGTGCCAGCAGATCGTGAAGGTGATCGTCGTAGACTCTGCTGGGCGTGGCCACGTGGAGGCGTTCCTCAGCCACAACCCTGCCCATCGCCTCATCCAATCAGCCGTCTCCACGCCCACCAGGTCACGGGAGGCAGGCAAGCAGCAGCAGCCGCCCCTCCCTCCCCCGCCGCCTCCTTATCATCACCCGCATCAGTTTTGCCCCCCGACCCCTCCGCCTCCACGCCACCTGCTGAGCCAACGCAGGTACTCCAGCGGGACACGCAGCCTAGTCTGAACAACACACAGATCGGTTAACAACTGTTAAAGGGACGGTTCACTTAAAAAGAACATTCTGTCTTTATTTAATCAACCTCATGTTGTTCCAAACCCATATGAGACCCTGGATCACAAAACCATTCATAAGGGTCATTTTTTTAAAATTGAGATTTATACATTGTCACCTGAATAAATAAGCTTTGCATTGATGTATGGTTGGTTAGGATAGGACAATATTTGGCCGAGATACAACTATTTGAAAATCTGGAATCTGAGGGTGCAAAAAAATCTAAACATTGAGAAAATCGCATTTAAAGTTGTCCAAATGAAGTTCTTAGCAATGCATATTACTAATCAAAAACTAAGTTTTGATATATTTATGGTAGGAAATTTACAAAATATCTTCATGGAACATGATCTTTACTTAATGTCCTAATGATTCTTGGCATAAAAGAAAAATTTTATCATTTTGACCCATACAATGTATTGTTGGCTATTGCTACAAATATACCCGTGTTTTGTGGTCCAGGGTCACAAATGCTATTTTTTCAGAACAAAAAACATTTTGAATAATCTTTACACAGCTTTTTTCAATACAAAGACAATTTATAGTTAAAAAAACACAGCATAAAAAGCACAATTAAATACAGTCTGTACAATTTGTGGGCGCTGAAGTCCTCTGAAGCCATATGTAATTTATGTCCATAAAATGTATGTTCACTGGAATACTAAATGACTTTCACAGAAACATTAAGATGCATTAATGTTTTTTAAAGAAACGGAAAAAAAAGAAAAACTGCCCAGTGCAGTAAGACTAAATTTACTTGTCTATGTAAATTAAATTAATATTTTTAGTGTTGCTTCAAGAATTTTATTTGATTTCATTATTAGATATTTTAACTGGAATGTAAATAAAAAATAGACAAATTATTTGTTAAGATTAGGATATTTTGCAGTTTATGAAGTGTGAATTGGCCAGTGTTATTTTTGTATTATTTATATACTATTATAATGTTTATTCATATTTTACATTTGCTTTTTTATTTTATATTTTAATTTTAATCTTAGTTTAAGTTTTAGGAATTTTGTTATGTGCTTTTGTAATTTTTCTTGTTTTTTAAATATTCTATTTAGTTTTAGTTTTAGTAATATTAGCACTTCGACTTTATTTCAGTTAGTTGACAAGGCAACATTTCCATATTTCAACATTTCATATTTTCGTTCACATTTTTTAAAAGTTTGTCATATTTACATTTAAACCTTTTTTCATTTAACACATTTTTTTCATAGGTTTAACTGTCACTGCATGGAAAAGAGCTTTTTTTGTTCTGTGGAAAAAAATAACAGCATACGGATGTAAAGCAACATGAAGGTGAATAAACCATGACAGAATTTTCATATTTATGTGAACCATTGCTTTAACACTCTTTCTGAAGACACAAAATAGCACAAGCAGCCCGATCTGAACTGTTAGGCTCGCGTCGCTCAAAAGAAGCTACACTTAGAATTGTTAGGTCCTCATGGCCTTAAAGTGTGTATTTAAAGTGAGTAGATGTATAGTATTTTTTTAAGAGGGATTTTTTTTCTCAGATCTTTTCTTGTGTGCTCATGTCCCCGTATTCAAATGAAATGTTTATATATTTTGATTTCTCCTTAAATTCTAATGTTGTGTGTTGCTCCGACCCGAGCTACAATAGATGGATGTAGTGTAGAGGGATGAATTTGTTTCTACACACCACCATAAAATAATGTTTGAAATTATAGAACTGTTCACATTGTGTTTTGTATGGAAATAGAAAATCACCACCCTCTTTCAAAGGTCTTACCTGTTAAAGCCTGAAAACAAAATCAAATTCCAGTATCTGGATATAAATCGTACCTCGCAGCATTTCTGAAAACAAATGCAAAAAGTAAAATAACTAGGTTAGAAAAGAGAACACCCCCTTGAGTTGGTTTAGATGCAACAAATAATAATTTACACGCACAAGTCTCTGCAGTACGCATCCTGAACTAAACAAAAGTAACCAACTGTATCAGGAGGCGGATCATGTGACATCTACTGCACATTTGCATAAATTTAACCTTAACTTTGCTCTTTATTCAAATTGCCAACTCCTACTGAAAATGCATGACTTTATTGCTGCAAATCAAATCATCCTTTAGGGAATTATTCCAGCTCTGTTGTGAATGTCCTCAACCAATGGTTTTGGAAGAAATTTAGGTCAGGACGTGGCCACTAAAGAATTTCTAACTTCCAAGATAAAAGCTGCAGATTTTGTTCGTATTTGGCATCATCTACTTACTTTCTTATCCTGTCAAGGATATTTAGGTCGCTGCCATCCTGTGTGGAGGAAGCGCTTGATCTTGAGAGCCGTGCACCTTGTACCTAATGTGGGTGTTGACTGAGCTCCATAAACCCTTTAAAACTTTTGGAAACCCGGCTCCTGACTTGTGCCTTCTCATAAAAGTATCCTAATGTCCTTTAAAAAGCACATTTTGGCCCAATGTGAATTGCTAATCTGTGTTGTAACCCATTTCCATATAGTACTTGCTAGAAATAGGAGATTTCTATACTTATTTCAATTTCACTATTTTACTGATTGGTTAAACCTAACTGGTGTTTTATGTAACAAAATGTTTATCTAATAACTTTTATTTACAGCATTGATAAACATTTTCTAGCATCCTGCTTGAAAGTGTTAGTTTGTGTATAGTCGTGATAGTCAGAAATTTTTCATTTGATTGATATATTTTCACATATATTCACACTGAATGTATATCAAGTATTGATCTGTTAATATTTGTTAATGAGTAAAAATGTAATAAATTAAATAGTTCACCCAAAAATGACAATTTGCTTAAAATATACTCACCCTGATGACATCCAAGATAAGTTTGTTTCATCATCAGAACAGATTTGGAGAAATGTAGCATTACATCACTTGCTCACCAGTGGATCCTCTGCAGTGAATGGGTGCCGTCAGAATGAGAGTCCAAACAGCTGATAAAAACAACACAATAATCCACAAGTAATCCTCACCAATCCAATCCATCAGGTAACATCTTGTGAAGTAAAAAGCTGCATGTTTGTAGGAAACAAACCCATCATTAAGGCTTTTTCCTCTACAATATTGATTTCTCCAAAGAAAAAGTTCCCGTCTGGATCAGGAGAGAAATATACACAGATCAAGCACTGCTTACAAGTGAAAACAGTCCAAAAGAGTTCTAAACAAATGTGTAGGGGGATTAGATTTTTTACTTGTATTTTGGCCAGAAGTGTAAAGTTAAAAAGCCTTAATCTATATCTAAAGCCTTCTCCAAATCTGTTCTGATGAAGAAACAAACTCATCTACATCTTGGGTGGCCCTAGGGTGAGTACATTTTCAGCAGATTTAAATTTTTGGGTGAACTATTCCTTTAAAGGTTTAATGTCATTAAAGTGTGTGCACTTTTTTTCTTTCTTTGCTAAAGCTTTTTCTTTAAAACAACTTTTTACAGCAACAAATAGAGCATTTTGAAAGAGGGTGGTGAGATAGTTTACCAACTAGGCTTTAACCCATCTTATCATCCTGAATCAATCTTTTTATCGTGTCCGGTCCTATAGAGCGACTCTGTAGCGTGTTACTGTGATCAAGCCTGGTGCTCAGGTAGCTTCATGTGAAAACCAGGTGCACATCAAACCTCTGAGAAAATATCAAAGGTTGTATACTACAAGGCTATGACTGATAAATTGTATATTTTTAAAAAAGGTATCACTTAAAATGTTTATTAAACTATTATGTTAAAATCTTTGGGGGGGGGGGGTTATTTGTGTTTTAAAAAGATCTGGTGGATTATGTTTGTGTTTGCCACTTAGAATTCATGTTTTCTGTACTGCATGTCATAAGAGATTCATATGTTTATGTGCAGATATCTATAAAGAGCTTTTATCAGGAGTATATCTCACATGTACAACACTAATAATTATGTTTCTATTTTCTTCGTTCAGTTTTGAATCACAAAACTAGTTCTTAATTACAAGTATCTACATATCTGTTTTTTTCAAGGCATTATTGGAAATGATGCCATTCTGTGCTTAGACACAGAAATTACAGAAAAGCAGCAAAAAAAATGTATTTATAGATCTATTTATTCATACAGAGTAGGAGAATGAAAAGCTTTATTGTATAGTTTGCACAGCTGTTTATTCATTAAGATGCGCTGATCAAATACAGTCTTTTCTTTGTGCACACTTGCTCTGACATGTTGATGGGACTGTTCAATTCACGAACGCTCCTCTACCACGTACCACGTCAAGCCAGAAGCTGTTCATTTGCTAGGTTAAATTAGTATGTAGCGACATATTTGTTTCCAAGAACATAGCGACACATTTAATCTCAGCAAGGGGCCGTATTCTGACTGTGAAGTTGTGAAACTGCACTGCATTTTTGTGAAAATGCACCATAAACTCCATCCTTGAGTCCATGCTTTCAGTCTAACATGAACTTCTTGACTTCAGTTTCAAACTCCCAGAAGTTCATTTTAAAAAACAGAAGCTAAAAGTATCTGTCAGAAAAGAAAATGCTGAATTTCATGTATAATTTCTCAAAATATGGCCTTGTGATGGTAAAAGCAATGGTTCCACCTAATAGGTTTTTACAATCTATATTTGTATTGAGCACTCTTATGAAGTTTTATATAGTGTAAAGACACTTGATATGTTCATTCATATCCTGTATATGCAATGTCACTTAATCATATCTCAACAATCATTAAACGTGCGGAAAATAGAATATAACTTGTGTGTGTGTTTGTGTTTCAGTACCAGTGGGCTTAAATATCACAATGGCATTAAAGACTGTAATCACTGGCATATTGATTAAACTTGACATTCAAGTGTTGACTCACAAATCAGTACTAATTATAAACATTAGCATTTATTTACATGAACAAACATTAACAACTCCATTTATCAAAAGCCCAATTAGAAGTGACATTAGTTGGAGTTGCATCCATGTTCCACGTATGAGAAAATTGCCACCCAATAAGCAATTTGAAGAAAATAAATTTTATATATATATATATATATATATATATATATATATATATATATATATAGTAT